GTGATGTCATCCAAATCGCTGTACATACAACCATTTAATGCCACCACAATGAAAATACCCACGGAACTCCTCACAGCACTAGAGAAAACAATCCTCAAAGTCATGTGGAATCAGAAGACACCTAGAATAAAAAATCCTGGGCAACAAAGACCAAAGCAAGAGACCTCAGCATGCCAGATTTCAAGGTATATTACAAAGCTACATGGATAGAAAGAGCATGGTAGTGGCATTAGAACAGATCTGTGAATCATTGGAACAGAAGAAAAAATGTAGAAATGACCCCAGAGGGCCTTGGCACTCAGGAAGCAGGAGGATCCCCACAAGTTCGAGGCCAGCCTGGCCTACACAGTCAGGTCAAGGCCAGGCTGAACTGCATAGTGAGAGCCTGTCTCAAAAAAACAAACACACACAAACACAAACACAAACAAAAATAAAAAACAACTCCAGACACCTTCAGCCATCTGATGTTTGACAAAGGGACCAAAAACATTCTGGAGGAAGATAGAGTCTTTAGCAAATGATTCTAGGAAAACTGGCTGTCCATGTGCAGAACATTGAGCATAGACTTGTGTATGTCACTAGGCACTAAACTATAATCAAAACACATCAGGTACATAAATATTAAAGCAGAATCACTTAACATGCTAGAGGACAAAATATGTACAACTCTTGAAGCAGGGTTGTAGGCAAGGACTTGTTGAGCAGAAACTAATGACATGAGAAATAACATCAAGAATTCACAAATGGGATCACATCAAATTAAAAAGCTTCTTCACACCCAAACAACCAACAGAGTGCTGAGATAGCCTACAGGATGGCAAAAATATTCTGCCACCTATGTTTCCAATAGATGACCCATATCTGGCATATGTAAACCAAGAAAGAAATTAGATCTCCCAAAATCAAAGATCAAATCTGGGCAACTGACAGGAATAGACACGTCCCTGAAGAAGAAAGAAACCCAAAGTATACATCAATTAAAGAGCAAAACAAAAGATACATGACAGGAAACAGGAATAGAGACCTTTGCAAATGAGAAGAGGGCCAATAAACGCAGGGAGGGGAAGGCGAGAGGAGCAGGGAGGCAAAGAGAATCAAGACGTGTCCCGCACAGGTACCATCGACCCATGACGGACGCAATCAGTATGTATCAAAAACACGCATTACTTCCTTAAAAGGTGTCTGTTTTTTGCTTCCAACCTGTCCAGGACCTGAGCGGCACCTGTGCTTTCATTCTTAAAGATCTTTTCGCTGGTCCTCCTGAGGAAAGAGCATGTTTATCAACCAAATCGTCATCTTTGGCAGGAGCTGCAGAGCCTGGCTGCCAGGGTTAGCAGTTACCTTGTGTAGACTTAGGGTACTTTTAGGCCCCATCCCCTCGGATGAGACAGGGAAGGGAAGAGGCTGTCCTGAAGTGTCTGTGCCACTAACCTCAACTCTCAACCTAAGGAGACCACGAGGTACCGCAGTGCTCAGCCTGAGCTACCGCCTCTGCTCACGCCAGGTCACTGCATGTCCTGTGGGCACCTCAGTTACTGATGCTTCCACCACAGGCCAGGACTGGCCTGCCCTCTCCTTTCCAGTGCATGCCCATTCCTTGCTCACATGTTGCAAAGATGCATCACACAAGCAGGCGATAGCATTTGTCTCCTAGCTGGCAACCAAAACAGAACACTTACATTCAAATTCTCTATGCCAAACATCAGACCTTACTTTGTATTAGTTTAAAAGTTCAGATTTCACTGGCACCTTCAGCTTCACTGTTAAACTTGGCAGGCTAAAAGCCCACGTGCTAAAGGATAAAGGTTACCCCCAGGGCGGTGCCAGGGGGAGGGGTAAACCTTGAAGAGGTGTGGCCTAGTGAGAGATTTTGACTTCTTTCCATGTGTGGGGTGGTTTCTCTCTGCCACATAGGCCCACCATGCTGTGCTGTTTTCCAAGGGCCAAAGCAGTAAGAACAACAGTGTAATGAACCCTGGACCGGAAACTTGCAAACTGAGCCAGTGGATATCATTACTATATAACATCAGTATCCTACACATTTGCTATATTAGAAAAAACCTAATAGGGTAACCAATACACATTTCTACAATTAAACAGAAAATGAATTGAGAAGGGAACCAAACTGATACACCACAAAACAAAACAAAACAAAGACACGGGCAATAATGGAGGAAATGAACAAAACTAATAAAGACATAAAATGTGAGAAGCAAAGGTCACAGTAAATAAAAATCAATGGAATAAAATATGAAAGTCAAAGTGAGAGACTGAAGAATGGTAACAAAGTAGGATCCAACTCTATGCTGTCACTGTGCAGTTTAGAGTCCAAAGTAGGAATAAGTGGAAAGTGGAAGGACAGAAAATACTGAAGAACACACCAATGAACAATTCTAGTAGGAGAATTCAATCCCAAAAATTCAGTCATAAATATATTAAGCAGCAAGCAGAGCAATAAAAAACAACTGGAATAAAACTCTAAAGTGGTTAGACCTCAGAGATATCTACTGTGCACCATTCAGGAGCCCTAACACAGGGCGTTTGTCCCAATTTTACATGAAACATTCCCTAAGTCCCATATGTGAGGTCATGATCAGGATATTGTGAAAATCCCAAGTCATACAAAGTAGCTACTCTGACCACAGGGGATGAACCTGGGGTGCAGTACCCAGAAGTTCCACAGTGTTGGAAAGCTTTGACTTGACAGGAAGTATCTTCTCCAAGCAGGTGGAAGGACAGGAGATGTTTCTAACCAAGGAACCAGAGGAAAACAAAAGAACTCTGCTGAAACTAAGTAACACACCTGCAAAGGCTGGGCCCTGTCTGGGCTTCTGTTTTTACTAAGGGTTTTGGTCACTGATCTCGTGTCTCTACTTTACTTGGCACATCTTCCCATTTTCTATCACTTTGTCAGCTCCTTTTACTAGTTTACCTTTAGCATTTTGTCCACTTCATAGGCGGTCTCATTTGTTGGTGTACAGTTCTTAGAATTTTTCTTACTTCCTGGAGATGTACTTTTCAGAGATTGCTAAGGATACTCGCAGTGGTATTTCTGATAGCCTTGTGTGAGTTTGCAACACCTTTCCTACAGGGCTGATACCTGTGTTTCACTGGAGGGGAGCCCTGAAGCACAGGCAGCACATGAGTAACTGTCCCCTGGGGCCGCAAGGGACAGTCACCCATGCACCACCAATGGCTCAAGCTGCTGGCAAGGTGCTCATCTGTCTAGCAAAAGGATTCTCAAGTTTTCGTTTTGGTGTTTTCTTCCTTCTTATTATACTTCATTTCCTCACTCTGATTTTGACTAAGTCCTTTTCCTCCTAAGGATGTGTTTATTTCTTGTTGGGATAGGTTTGTTGTACTAGAAAAGGCCTAAGCAAGGTTATTAATTTTCCATGTCTCTGCTTTTTCAGTGGTTCATCATTCTGGTGAGCAGTAAGAAAACCTCTCCTGTGGGACTTCTGACTTTAACCGCAGTAGGTTTATTCAGGAAAAGCTGTCAACGGCCCGGTCTGTGGCCTGAGGGTAGACAGCCAATACCAGTGAGGATCACAGTGGCGTCCTCACGGCTTGGAGAGGTAAGGAGCTGGGAAGACAGTGGGAATGAGACAAACAGTGCTGTCCTAAACCTGCAGTTTGCCCCGGCATCACAGTGGTCAGCTCAGAATTTGTAGTTGACACGCGTACGGGGCTCACAGGAGGTAGCATCTAGGAGGAAGTGGATGTTCTCTTAGGGCAGCTTTGTCCTCTCAAACCCTACAGCAGTGGGAACTGAGCTGTGGGAGGATGATCTGGAGGCTCACTGAGCAGCAGTGTGTGCAGAGGCCTTAAAGGCCAGCTTCCTCCTACCGTTGCCCCCTTGAGAAGCAGGAAGGCCAAGGTTAGAGGCGGGCTTGGGTGGGTGGTTTGAGGCAGCCTTGCTTGTCACATCCTTGGGTTCCCCCCAAGGTCCTGTCTCCTCACATTGAAGACATGCTCAGTACCCTAACTGTGGCTATAAGTTCTGGGTGCAACCATATCCTCCCTTGGCTTGGCCCCTTGTTGAACCGGAAGCTGTCACTATCACTAAGCCTGAGCTCTAGCTAGGCTTTACCTTGGATAAGGGCTGAGCTTTACCTTGGAGAAAGGCCGTCTCTTGTGCCAGACTTGGGTCAGAGCACTGGGCATGTAGGTGGCTGTGGCAGAGTCAGTGGCAATAGAAGTTCCAGAAGGGAAAAGAGCCTGGGTGACATTTGAAGCTGCCTGGGAGCTGTCCGACATGCCTGAGGTCATGTTTGTGAGTGAGGATCCTCCAAGGGCTGCCTGTGCTGGGGTACTGGAGGCTGGCTGACCTGGAACAGGGATTCGATCAGGCCAGGAGGTGTGACTGCCAGGGCCGAGAAACGGAGACCATGGGTATAGGTGGCGGCTCCATGTTGCTGCCTATCAGCAGCCCCCAGGGTGGGCAGGGTGCTGGAGGAACCCTAAAAGCGGCATTTATGTGTGGGCCCACCAATGCCCAAGCTCTGTCCTAGCAGGGAAGAGGCTGTGACCTTCCTGCCCCTGGTCCATGCCACATTCAGCTGTGCAGATGGGAAGGAGGTCCCACTGGTGCCAGGGGGAGGCGCCGGAAAAAGAGAATTGTGTGGGGCTGCCACATATGCAAAGGTCGGCCCAAAGCTGGGCCCCACCTGGGGACCAGATCCCATGGCTATGGCTGTGCTGCCACTGGGCGGTGCCACAGTCATCTGTGCAGATGGGAAGGAGTTCCCACTGGTGCCAGCGGTAATCCCCCGGGAAAGAGGATCAGCTGGAGGTGTGGTATCCATAGGCTCTACACCAGTGTCAGTCCCTGACTGGGGAGCAGAGGATGTGCCTGTGGCTGTACTGATACTGGGTGGTGCCATAGACATCTGTGCAGATGGAAAGGAGTTCCCACTGGTGCCAGGGGGAGGCACCGGAAGAAGAGAATTGTGTGGGGGTGTGACATATATAGATGCTACTCCATTGCTTTTCCCTACCTGGGAAAGACAGCCCACGGCTGTGCTGCCACTGGGCAGTGCCACAGTCAACAGTGCAGAGGAAGGAGGTCCCACTGGTGCCAGGCGGAGGAAGTGGGTGAGAGGATCAGGTTGGAGACGTGGTATCCATAGTTTCCTTGCCAGTGTCAGTGCCCAAGACAGGAGCACAGGATGTGTCTATGGCAGTGCTGCCACTGGGTAGTGCCAAAGTCACCTGTGCAGAGGGGAAAGAGTTTCAACTGGTGTCAGCGGGAGGCTCCGGAAGAAGAGAATTGTGTAGGGGTGTGACATATATAGGTGGCGCCCCAAAGCTGGGCCCCATTTGAGGCCCAGTGCCCAAGGCTACAGCTATAAGGCCACTGGGCAGTGCCATAGTCATCTGTGTAAATGGGAAGGAGTTCCCACTGGTGCCAGCGGGAGTGCCCAAGCGAAGAAGTTCAGGTGGGGGTGTGGTATCCATAGGTTCCTCACCATTGTCAGTTCCTGACTTGGGACCAGAGCCCATGGCTATGGCTGTGCTGCCACGGGGCAGTGTGACAGTCCCTCGTGCAAAGGGGAGGGAGCTGCCACTGGTGCCAGGGACCAGACGCCCAGAAAGGAGAGGATCAGGTGGAGGTGTGATGTCCATTGTAATCTTTCTACTGTTAGTGTCTGTGTTTACAGCAGAGACTGTGGCTGTGGCGGGAGATGTCAGTGGGTTCCCAGAGCCCAGGAAGGGCTTCTCCTTTCTGTTCTTACTCTTCCCTGCAGGCCTAGTGGATGGAGGACCAGTCCCTGGGGCAGCTAGGGGAGCAGGAGAGAAAAGCCCTGAGAGGTCAAAGACCTCAGGGGCCTTCTCCCTTTTGTTCCTACCCTTCCCTGTTGGAATGGTGTGTGGAGGAGCAGTCCCTGAGGCAGCCAGGGGAGCAGAGCAGAAAAGCTGTGTGGGGTCCAAGACCTCAGGGGCCTTCTCCCTTTTCTTCTTACCCTTCCCTATTGGAATGGTGTCTGGAGGAGCAGTCCCTGGAGTAGCCAGGGGAGCAGAGCAGAAAAGCCATGTGGGGTTCAAGACCTCAGGGGCCTTCTCCCTTTTCTTTTTACCCTTCCCTGTTGGAATGGTGTGTGGAGGAGCTGTCCCTGTAGCAGCCAGGGGAGCAGAGCAGAAAAGTTGTGTGTGGTCAAAGACCTCAGGGGCCTTCTCCCTTTTGTTCTTTCTCTTCCGTGTTGGAATGGTGTGTGGAGGAGCTGTCCCTGGGACAGCCAGGGGAGCAGAGCAGGAAGGCTCTGTGGCATCAAAGATCTTAGGGGCCCTTTCTGTTCTTAGGGCCCTCTTTCTGTTCTTACCTTTCCCTGCAGGGATCATGGGTGGATCAGTGCCTGGCAGAGGCTGGGAAGCAGAGCAGGAAGGCTGAGGGCTACTGGTGAGGGTGGAGTCCTGCTGCTTTCTGTGGTTACTCTCCCCCGCAGAGATCAAGGGTTCAGGAGCAGTACCTGGGGCAGGCAGGGGAGGAGGGCAGACAGGCTGTGTGGTGCTGCTGATGTCTAGGGCCTGCAACTTACCCATCAGCCTGGCATTCACAAGCTGGAATGCTGCCTCCTTCTCCTGAGCTATGTGCTCCCTGGTGATCTTATAGCTCAGTTCCAGAGGTGGTGGCAGCCTGAGGGGTGGCCCTTGGCGACGCCTCAGGAGAGGGATCTTTCTTCTTCCTAGGCCAGCACCCTCTGGTGTCATCTCGTGGTCCTTTCTGGTTTCTTCGTGTCTGGATGGTGTGTCTGCCACCACCTCATTCCCAGTCTTTCGGGGAACCTGGGGGAGTGAACACGGTTGCTGGAGGCTGTCAGGCCTGGCCGCCTTCAGATCTTTGGTGGAGCCCGGGGGCGGCCTGATGTGCGAGGGGGCTGCAGCCCTCCAGCGCTGTCCTGGCAGCCCCCCGGTGGAGCTGTAGGAGCTGCTGATGGCATTTCGCTTCAAGGAGCTCACACAGGAGGGCTGGGGGGAGGGGGCAGCTGGAGCTCTGGCGCTCTGCCTGCGGTGGTCTGTGCTCAGAGGCCCAGGCCTGGGGACATAAGGCACCTGGCCTCGCCGGCCTACCACTGGCCTGAAGGCGGACGGGGGCCTCGCAGCCTCCTGGGCGGCCCTCCTCTGCTGAGCCTCCTGCCTCAAGAGCCAAATGCCCGAGCAGTCCCTGCGGGAGGACCTACGGCTGCTGCTGCGGCGTGTCTGAAAATCCTCTGCGGGAAGCACTGGCCTCCCCAGAAGAGAGCCTACCTGTTGGCCCATGGGCCCCAAGGGCCTCAAGGGCCGCAAGGGCCTCAAGGGCCAAAAGGGCCTGCAGGTAGGGGAACAGTGCTCCGGGCACTCTTGCCCAGAGCACTGAGGTCAAGCCCGGGATGCCTGATGCCTGATGCCAGACGTCAGGACCGGATCCGCGGGCACACTGGCTAAGCAGGATGCGCCCACCCAGGGCTCTGGGCAGGTGCCGAGAGGGGCCCACAAAGGTGGGCCCTTGGGGCAAGTTCCTGCCCCCGCGGGCAGGGAGCAGGGCTGCGGGGCAAAGCTAGCCCCGCCGCACTGCTCCCCGGAACTATTGGGGAACGGGGGTACTTCTATCCCAGACCTTGGCAGAGCGCACTGCTTGGAGCAGCCAACTGCTCTGCCGCCTGAACCGCAATGCTTTGTTGCTGGGAGGCGGCTTCGCAGCTCGAGACCAAAACCCGCCCCGCAGGCGGGTGCTCAGGCCCGCGTGCCCGCGTGCACAAACGGTCAAAAGCCGCGCGCGCGGCGCGTTTGCAACATTCTGTAACTTTCCCGGGAGGGCGGTCCCTCTGCCTCTCTGCAGCAAGATTGGGACAGGAGCCCGCGACCCTGAGAGATTGCCATTGCTTGCAAACAGGCTGCAGGTTTCCCGCCCTCCTACCCGGGCTGAGGGGGACAGCTAAGGGGAAATGAGCTGCTGCAGTCCCTTGAGGGCCCTGAGGCAGAGCCCTGGGGCTGTCACCTGTGGGCCCTGATCCTAGGAGGAGGGACTAGGGGAGCAGGGTTCCTGCCTGAGCCCCGCCTGGGACACTTGAAAGCTTTGGCAACAGGCTGTTGCATCTTCCTGCTCTTGCCCTGTGTGTGAACTGAAGAGGAGAGTAACCAGCCTCTGGTATCCAAACAGGCAGCATTCCTTTCCTCCTCTTTGATTCCTGAAATTACACCCTGCCTGTTCCTGCCTTTTACCCTCAACCTGAAGAAAATCCCTTCGTGTGTTTCTGTAGCAAGCCTTCTAGTAACAGATTCTCTTGCGTTTTTCTCCCCTTCTTTAACCTTCCTGTTTATTTTCATTTGGGCCCCAGAACTTACATCACAGGCACACAGTACCTGGGGGGACCTTTTCTTTCGGCCCTGCAAGGTGTTCTCTCAGTCTCTTGTGGCTGGTGTGTTTTCCATGGGAAGTTTTAAATTGACATTTCCTTGTATTGGGCTTGTTATTTTCTCTGAGCATTTTGCAGAATTGTCTTTATGCTTGTGTATTGAGTTGAGCGTGTCTTGGGTGAGACTTTTCCCAGCATCTTAGATGTGTTTTCCATGAATTGTGACCTATCTCCCACTCTTTCCTGTATCTCTCTTGTTCCTCAACTCCTCCTTTACCCATGAAGATGGTAAGGTGTTAAAACTGATTATTTTGCTTTGCATGTCTCTGAGACTTAATTTTTTTGTTCTTTTTTCTTTCTTTTGCTTTTCAGATTGGCATTTTAATGCCCCGCAGAGTCTTGACCTCTTGTCTTTCTCTGATGGAAGCTTATTTATTTCCATTAAATGAATTCCACTAATGTCATATTCCATTCATGCCAAGGGTATTTGCCTTTCTTTCTTTCTTTCTTTCTTTCTTTCTTTTTTTCTTCTTTCTTTCAGAATGGTTGTTTCTAGTGTTGTAGGAGAAACTGAGCCAACAGTAACCAGGAGCTCAGGAGAAAAAGGAAATTTTATTGATGCCAGTGGTCACCAGGGGAGTCATCCTCAAAGTCTGAGGTGGTGATTGCAGAGAGCTTGTCTTTTTTATAGAGTGGCAAACAGAGGTTGCAGGGAAGAGTTGCAAGCTTTTAGCTGAAGGTTGTGGTACAATGGCTATCTTGTGGTGAACATAGTTGTGTGTAGCAAAGTTGTCACCACGTTCCCAGGGCTTTCAGTTGGATGAAATCATATGATTTAGCTGAGTTCCGTGGCTGAGAACAGAATGGCTTTACCTTTGCTGAACAAAGTGTCTACAGTTTGATCAGGCTTTCTGCTTCCATGGTACGTGTTTTCCATGATCCTTTCTTTAAGTGGGTTGTTTCAGGGCTGGATATTGCCCTTTCCCTTGAGGATTGGTCAGATTGCCTTAATTTTCTATATGTACTATTGCTTAGTTTTGGATAGTGCCCTGGACAGTTTGCTGGTTGATTTAGCAGACTCTGGTTCCTATTAAAATCCTCAGGCAAGCAATGATTTCTCTTGTTCTGTTTTTCTGCAAAGCTGTCAAGGCAGCAGGGTCAGACTGCATGCTGCATTTGCTTTGCAGGGTCCAGGTTGTGCTCAGGCCACAGTGCCCCACCCCCAGCCCTGTTGGTCTACTAGATGCCTGGTGGTTGATAGCTCAGTCGCTTCCCAAAGCCTTTGCCTTGCTTCTTTGGAACTATTCTGTGCAAGCCGCTCAGTGTGAGTCTAGACCTTGTGCTGGCTCTTACACAGACTTCAGTGATTTCTTTCTGCAGCTCTCTCCTCTTTAAAATGCCGTTTACATTTTCCTGCTACAAGAGGAGAACCTGAGGCAGGTCAACCCTCAGGCCATCAGCAACAGGAATAGAGTACAAACATAGTGGCAATTTCCCTCATTCTCTTCATACAGCAGAAGTCACTGCCCGTTCCTTTGGGCACAGGTCATTTGTTGGGGCTTTAGGTACCTCTGCCTCTCCTGAGGCTGATCGACAGCTTTGCAACTGGTGAGGAAAAAACCACAAAAGTGGGGTGGGGATGCCTCAGATGCACCCCACCCCCACCCTTGAGCAAAAGTCCACACTTCTCTGGATACAAAGAAGGATTGTAGTCCAGAATTTATTCTTTCAGTGATTACTGGAATTTATTTTCCCTAGACAAAGCTGGAAGACACAGTAGGAGAAATTCAACATGGAACAGCCCATTAGGGGCTGTTGTTCTCCTTTGGATTCCAGTCCCCATTTGCCTGGTACCGCATGCTTCCAGCATTTTGAGACTGTGTCTGGTTGTAGTTGTTATTTGTGTAGGAGAGAAGTTATCTGGGGCTTCCCGTCTTTCCCTAACAAAGTTCTATGGCTACTAAATTAATTTGAAAGAAATGTACTTGCATTGTTACCTATGATAGAGTTCCCTTCTTCTTAGTGGCAGAATACTTTTGGATTGTAGGAATCGTATGGCCTGGTTTTTATCCATTGCAACAGTAACGTTTATATTGCTTCTACATCTTGTTTGTTACGGAAAGTGTTGCTGTGAACAAGGGAGCGCAGAACGTTTCACTCCTGGTTTCTGTTGTTTTTGGAGAAGAACCCAGAAAGGTTAGTGAAGTAGACCAATCACAGAAGGACAAATACTACACAATTTTCTTTATATGAGATGCTTAAAATATAGGAACCTTTCAAGCAGGCAGTAGAATGGTGATTTCCAGGGTCTGAGGATGAGGGGAATGTGAATTGCTGGGCATTTGGTATCCAAGGTGTATAAATTCTGTACTTCTGTTACAACAGTGTGCCTATAGGCAATAAAATTGTAATAATGTGCTTAGAAATTTTGTAGAAGTGCAGATTTCACATTGTCTATCATAATGAAAAGCAGCGTTAGGCAGTTTTGACTGACAACCAAAGATTTAAGGCTATAAACTGAAGGATTGATTCACTGAATTAATATCAAAGTCTATAATCAGGCAATTTCCAAAAAATGAAAGCTAGAATTATTTCACAATAAAGGAATTTAATGAGTATCACAAAATGTGTGCATATAAGTGCACATGAGAGATGTGCATATCTATTTTACTATAATCCTAGCATATTAAGATGTTCTAACTTTCCTATAAAACTAAAGTTTCCTGGTTTGTAATTTTCTTTATTGTTCTATAATTTTGTGAGTGGAGGTATTATTGGTAATAAACCAGGAAACAGTCGTGGTTTTTGATGCAGCCTTCCTTGCTATTTCCTTTAGGTGTTTCATTCCTTGACTTAAAGAAACTGAACAGTAGAAGAAAGAACACTGGGTGGCAGATGGGGCCACAATGAAGTACAGGAGGAGGTGTCCCTGCGAGGTCAGCATCAGCGCCAGATCACCCTACGGGCCGCTCTTGGTATGAAATCCGCTTGAATTAGTGATAGGTTTCACTCATGGGGAGCCTGCCAGACCTCACGTGGTGCCTGCCCAACCTGGTGCTGGACCCTAACATGACAGCGTGTCCCTCTAGTATTGATTTCTGTGTTCTTCCTCCGAGCTCCAGTTGACCTATTTGCTTTTCCTGCATGTGCCAGCATCTCCCCCATCAGCTGTCAGTAGGTCTTTCTGCCCGCCTCTTCACACACCATCCCCTGTCCAACCTAATCAAAGCCCCATGGCTTCTTTGTCTGCCTCAGAGGGATCTTGCACTCTTTGGCAGCTCTCCCATGCCCACTGATAAGGCCTTTTTTCTTTTCTGCCTTTGTTTCTCTGCTGAACCAAAAAGCCCCAACAATTAACATGCTCAGTTCTGGAAAAATAACAAGTCTCATCCAGTGCAGGTGAATGCAGTCAAGAACATTGTTTTCATTGCACAGCATCAGTGCTTAAGGAGTGTGAGCAAGGCAGAAGAATATGGTGCATGATATAGTATCTCTCCCTCCTCTTGATATAGAAATAGAAATGAAAGGGCCAGGGATTTAGCTCAGTGGCATGAGTGCCTGCCTGGCAAGCATGAGGTTGTGAGTTCCATCTCTAGTACCAAAAATAAATACAATAAAAAGCAAGAAAGAAAAGAAATAGAAATTCAGTGAACGTGTATCTTGGTGTCCTTCCTCACTTACCAACATTTCTCCAAACAATCTCTGATGTCATGTGTTCTTTCTTGTATGCATTTCGTATTTTGTTAACTAAGAGGTATGGGGAGGGAGGGTAGCACAAGGCTCCCACCCCTCACCCCAGCTGTGGGTGTAGCGGGCAGCTTGTGGATAGTTCTCAGGCCAGTTCTTAATGGAGAGATGCATTCTTGGCAGGGCTGGGAGGGCTTGTTGAGACAGGGTGCAGAATGGGACTGCTCAAAGGGAATCAGGCTTCAGGAAAGGGGCCAGATTTATATAGGTCACAGTTCTCCTTCCAACACTACATGCTCAGCCTCTGAAGTCACCTCCAGAAGCCAGGGGAACTTCCCAAGAGACCTGGATGAGGGCCAGCAGACTGCTCCCTTGGAAGGTAGGGTCCCCTGGCATTTTTATCTCCAGAACACATAAATGAGACAACAAGAGCCAGATGCTATCTTAGTGTACCCTTGGATGCTTCCTGGGGCAGTGGTAGAGCACTTGGAGTCAGTTTGAAGAGAGCTGCTCCGTCCACTGGCAAAAATGTTTGGGCTCCCTGAGTGCATCCTCCCTAGTGCAGACTGAAGGAAATTTAGCTTTCCTTCCCTGGTGATCTATCTGTTCATCCTTGACCACTCATGGAAACAGCTGATGTTTTCTCCCTCCCTAGATACTATGTTCCCTTCTCCAGAAATAATATGGTTGGATCATAAGCTTGCAGTCTTGTCATATTGGCTTTTTTCATTTAGTAATGGACCTGTTTTTTGGTAGTCATGGAGTTTTCAGTCCCTCCATGCCTCCTTATCTTGATGTGTCCTGCCCTAGCTCAGCATGTAACACTTCATTTGTAGAAGTCACGAAGTAATGAGTGAAGGAGGTATAGAAATAAATGAAGTGGATCATGTAACATATGGCCATTTCTTTCATTTTTATTCATAGAAAGAATGAACTCTAAGACACCAAGAAAGGTGATGTGAAACATTGTCTGACAATCAATGAAAACAGTGGTGTGGTTTCTTGGGTAAGTGCATTTTGAAGTTTCTAGAGGAAATAAAAACTACATTTTTGATTTGAATCTGTTAGAATGCTCTTTATGTTTGTCGTTTTCAATAAGGAATTCATTTAAAATAGGGACCGTTTTGCCATGTTTCTGTCTATGTATTAGGGTTAGTGATATCGAACCAGCATTACTGTTTGTTTTGTAATCTTGTATGCACTAAGAATAGCCATTATGATCATTTAACAGCAAAGGGATTTGTTTTTTGGTTCTGGGGATCAAACTTCTGACCACCTGCATTCCAGGCAGGCACTTATACCACTGAGCTAAATCCCCAGGGCTGAAGAGCATGTTAAAAATTTAACTAAAAGGACTGGGGATTTAGCTCAGTGGTGTAAGTACCTGCCTGCCAAGTGTGAGGTTGTGAGTTTGATCCCCAGTACCAAAAAAAAAAAAAAAAAAAAAAAAAAAAACACTTAAAAATCCCTTCTTTAATCATTTTTTATTTGATTTTACATTTGTTTCAGGGGGTAGGGAACCACTGGATCAGTTGTGATCATGTGACATTCAGTGTCAGATACTACTGGTATTGCAAGATATCACCTTTATAAAGTTAAAATTTATTAGAAATGCTTGCTTGTCTTGCAAAACACTTGCACAACAAGTTACTCACAATCCAAGCATTTTTAACTCAGATTGTTCACAAGCATCTGCAGTATCAGATTTTTCTTTTCTTCTTCTTCCTCTTCTTATTCTTCTTACCCGTTCTCCTCCTCCTTCTCTTTCTTTGTTTCCTCCCCCCGTGCTTCCCCTGCTTCTTCTTTGCTTTGGTTGCCAGTTTCTTAAATACACCCTATGTGTACCTTATTGTGGAGCTTTTTAAAAAATTGTTCACATACAGACTTGATACAAATGTAGTTTATGGAAAACCATCTGCAAAACTGAAATGAAAGTATTACACATACTATACATATATTAAACTGACAAATTGTTAGGAATCACGATAATTTAATCCATCATGTGACAATAAAATATTAGGTGGTTTAATTTTCTTTCATCTGGTACCAGATACAGACATAAAGAAACCACAGTCTGACAGACTTGCTTATTTTAGAGGTGCAGATTGGCACACAACACAGGACTTTAACACCACGGTAACAGTAATAAAGTTTAATTAACTGTGAATTAGCACATGAACTATTCCATTAAAGAAAGAGAAAGTACAGAAGTTACCAAATCGGAAGAGCTTGAATTCCTCTTCGAAATAACTATAAAACACTTGCTTACAATGTTAGCATATATGCAAATGTAAGTACATCTTCCAAGCCATCACTGCCAAATCCGAGTTCATTTTCTAACCCTTGTTTTCCTGCTTTCACAGAGAGCCCTTTTAAGACCTCCAAAACGCTCATTAAGATCCTTTCAAAGGTGTCTCCTCCTATCCTGTCCTTTGCTTATCACTGTTAAGCTTGAAGAAAAAACCCGGTCTCCATCCCAAGAATTTTTGAGTCTTCCAGCTTTGCCCTGGAGGAGCAGAGAAGGGCGCTCAGCTAGGGATGAATCATTCCAGGTTGTTCAAGCTATGAACGGGGCCCAGCCTCCCGCCCCTCCCTGACATCTCCCTGAATGTTCTGTCCCACCCTGGGCAGTTGTGCTAGTTCTCATCCTGGAGAATCAGGTGGTGCTGCTGCCCCTGCTGGTGTGTACAGATGATTGCACCCCGGGGGCATCTACTGCTGAGCTGCATCCCCCACTCCTTTTTCTTTTTGTTTAACTTTCCCAGAGGAGCCTGAACTTGTGATCCTCAAGGCTTAGCTTCCTTAGTGCTGGGATTACAGGTGCACAGCACACCTCGTGTAAAGGGCTCGTTTTGGCTCACTGTTGTGGAGGTTACAGTCCATGCCTGCTTGACCCCAGTGCTTTTGGGCTGATGTTGAAGCCACACATGATGGGAGGGTGTGACAGAGAATCACAAGTTCAAGGCCAGCCTGGGGGACTTCACGAATTAGTGGAACCCTGTCTGAAACTCGAACATAAAAAACGGCTGGGGGGGGGGGGTCTAGGGAATTAGCTCAGCAGCATAAGCGCCTGCCTTGCAAGCAGGCAGTCTTAAGTTGGATCCCCGATACCGATAAAAAGGAAAAAGACCAAAAAAAAAAAAAAAAAAAGGGCTGGGGATGTAGTTCAGATGAAACGCGTTAAAGTATAGTTTAAATTTCTCTTAGAGTAATGCAGATTAAATGTCTTTTAATATCTTAAGTTTGTACTTTTTCTGTGAACTTTGCTTATGTGCTTTGCTTGTGTAATAATGGTATCAGACTGATTTTAGAACCCATGCTGCATGGAGAAGTTCTGAAAACTTATAAAGCTTGTGCTCTTCTCTACAGACATACATACTGAATCGGAATAGTCCTTGTGATCTCTGAACTTTTGAGTTCTCTCCAAATAAAGCAGAGGCAGGAGTTATCAGGAACAACGAGTTAAGAGAAATACGTACTAAATCAGACAGCCAGTATTTGGGTTCAGTAATATGTTTCTCAGATGCTCGCAAGATTTGGAAACCGCCGAGCAAATCGGCTGAATGCAGGCAATGCCAGTCAGCCAGAGAATACGATGAGGCCCCTGCTAAACCAAAATGGCCATTCTTTCTGACCTCGCAGCCATCCACGAGGCTTTAAAAAGACTGTGCATTTCAGGAAATCACAGAAGCTTGTTTTAGTCATTTGGCTCCAGACTGAAATTTGAACTATACTGAAATTTAGTATACTGAACTACACTGAAATTTGAACTATACTGAAAATTAGATACTTGGGTGTCTGGGACTAGCTACTTAGTCCTAGCCAACTGGTAAGCTCAACCAAGCACAGTGGAGCCAGGATGGGAACTCCTCTGGTGCCAAACACAACAGGAAGCACAAGATCCAGTTCCCAGGCTGGAGAGGGCGGGGCCCTTCAGACCCACCCTGAGTGGGCGGTGACCACAGGCGGCTCCCTGCCTCTGTGACGTCACGGAAGCCCCGCCCACAGCTGTCAGCCACTGCCATACAGAGCTGCCTGCTGGCCAGGGGAAGTTGCCCCTTCCTGGAGTCATGATGGGCAGCAAGATGGTGTCTGCCACCAGGTTATCCAGGTAAAGGGCTCTCATTGCTTTTCCGCACGCGGGGCAGTAGGGATGGTGCAGCCATAGCAAAGGTTTAGGGCGGAGAGGCCTTGTCACAGGATGCACAGTGACACTGCCCACGCTGCTGCATAGGCATATATGAAGATGGGACATGAAGCCCGTGGCATTGGGCAGTAGGGCAGCACCTCGCCCTTTGCAGGGGCGAGGCATATTGGCAGGTGGCTAGCTCCCTGCTGACCCGAGGGTCAGGGCTTCTCTGCCAGCATCTCAGCCTTCATGGTCTGCTGGCTAGGCTGCCCTCAGGAGCTGGGCCAATGGAATGCAGCAAATCATCATGGAAATTGCACACCATGACCAACTCTGATTCATCCCAGGATGAATGCAGGGATGGTTCAGCATAGGCAAAGCAGTAAATATACTAGAGCACGTTAACAAAACTCAGGACAGACACCACATGCTTATCTCAGTGGATGCAGAAAGAGCATTTGGTGAAGTCCAACACTCATTCATGATAAAAAAAAAATCCTACAGAAAACTGGAATAGGTAGATGGTCTTTACCTCAATCAGATAAAAAGCCTTCTGGGACAGACCAACAGCCCACATCATACTAATTGGAAAAAACTGAAAGCTTTCAACCCAAAGTCAGGAACGAGGTAAAGATACGACTATTACTATTCCTGTTCCATATAGTTCTGGAAACAGCCAGAGCAATTATACAAGACAAAGAAATAAAAGGAAGAAGACTAAGGAAAGAAGAAGTGAAATTATTATTTGGAGACCACAAGATACTCTACTTAGAAGACCCCCAAAATTCCACAAAACACTTCTAGATTTAGTAAGCAAATTCTGAGGTGTAGCTGGATACAAAGTCAATGCTCAAAAACCAGTATACTTCTTGTACACGAATAACAAGCTCAATGAGGGAGAAACCAGGGAAACAACAATTTTCACAACAGTATCAAAAGAACTATCATTTTTAGGAATTGTTCTAACAAGGGTAATGAAAGATCTATACATTACAAATCACAGGATGTTGAAAAAGGAGATCAAAGATGATACTGGAAAATGGAAAGATACCCTTGCTTATGGATAGGAAAGACCAACACTGTGTAAGTGGCCATATTCCCAAAACTGTTACATAGGTTTAATACAATCCTGATCAAAATACCATTAGTGTACCTCAGAGGTCTAGAGAAAACATTCCTAAAATTCATCTGGAACCAGAAGAGACCTAGAATCCTGGGCAACAAAGGCAAAGCAGGAGACATTAAAATCCCTGACTTGAAATTATACTACAAAGCTACAGTGATGAAATTAGCATGGTACTGGCAAACAGACTTGAGGATCATTGGAACAGAAAAGATGCAGACACAACCTACACTCAGCCACACTCTCACTGAGAAAGGAGCCAAAGATGTTCAGTGAAAGAAATCCTCTTTAATAAATGGTGCTGAAAAAACTTTTTTCCATATGCTGAATACTAAAACTAAAATCAAACCCCTGGCTATCACCATGCACTAAAGTACAAATAAGATTTTTTTTTTTTTTTTTTTTTTTTTTTTTGGTTCCAGGGATCCAACTCATGGCCTTGCACTTCGCAGGCAGGTGCTTGTGCCTCTGAGCCAAATCCCTGGCACAAATGGATCAAAGACCTAAATATTAAAAGAGAAATATGAAATCTACTAGAAGAGAAATTAGGTGGAAATCTTGAAGACATGGCAGTAGACAAAGGTTTCATGAACAAGAACAAACTACATAGGAAGTACTTCAAGGATCAACAAACAGGATTTCATCTTATTACAAAGTTTTTTTATTCACAGCAAAACGAGTCACCAACAGAGTGAAAAGAAAACTCACATATTGGGAAAAACCAGCCAACTGTTCCTCAGACAAAGGACTTGTATCTGGAACATATAAAGAACTGAAAAACATCAGGTCCTGGGATTCTGCCTTTCCCCAGAAACAATAGGCTATCATCAAAAATCACTGAATAATCAATACTGGCAGGGTTGTGGGGCAGAACATCCTTTGCCAACCTTCATAGGCATATAGACAGGTACAAGCACTGTGGAAATCAGTGTGGAGGCTCCTCCAAAAACTAGGACTAGAGGTCCCATTCAACCAAGTTATTGCCCTTCGGGGTGTTTTCCCAGAAGAATTAAAAACATCATACCACAATGATATATGTTCATCCATGTTTATAGCAGCACAATTTGTAACAGATCTTTGAAACTACTCAAATGCCCATCAACTGCAAAAAGCATAAAAATGATGTATTTTCTGTTTCTTTTTCATAGTGAGGATCGAGCTCACGACCTCACATCTGCCAAGCAGGCAGTTGGGCTGCTGAGCTAAGTACCTGGCCCTAGGATACGGTATTTTAATACAAGATAGTATTCCTCAGCTATAAAGTTGGATAAATTCAAGGCTTTTATAGGTAAATGATGCAACTAGATGTTATACTTACAAGTGAAGTAAAACAGACCAATATGGGTAAACAGCATGTTGTCTCCCTAGTGTAAGAAACTGAAAGAGTAAATAAGATCTAAAAGGTATAACGCATATTCTGCAAGAGAATGAAACTGCTGAAGAGGAAAGAAATGGGACAGGGAAAAGGAGAAAAGAAGCAAGGAAAGTTACATATATACATATGTGTATACACACACAGATACCTAAGACAGTTCTACTACTAATGCTCATAGGTCATCGAAAGGAACATTAACTGCTTCTATTTGAGTAGTTCTGCATCTGGTAATCACAGCAACTGTTTTAAAGACCACAATATGCAATATAATAAGCATTGTTAATTTCCTATCTTGTTTTGAAGTTCTGTATTTTTTGTGGGTTTTTAAATTCTCTTTAAAATTGAAAATGGTTGAAAGTGTTTGTCAGTATTTTCACTAAAATTCAGGTTACCTGTCCCATTTATAATAAAGCAGGCAGGAGCTTGTTTTTATGTATATCTCCTACAGGTTCTTCTGGTAACTTAGAGCAAGTTCTGTTTTACATGATGCCACTTGCAGCACTTGTAGACAGCTGTCATGATCACACATAAATGTCCTGATCATTTCACTGAGGGAATTAAAATATTGTAAGTGGGATTAGAGGCATATGCCTTTAATCCAAGCTGTTTAGGAGTTAGAGGTGAAAATCAAACAGTTTGAGGCCAGTCTCAGCAATGTAGTGAGAGTCTGTCTCAAAATGAACAAATTAAGCTGGAGCCAGCTGAGGTGACACACACCTGTAATCCCAGCCCTCGGGAAAGCTGAGGCAGAAGGATCCCTACTTCAAACCCACCCTAGGCAATTTGGGAAGACCCTGTCTCCAAATACAACAGTGCTAAGAGTGTAGCCCCCTTTGAAGGCCCAAGGTGAAGTCCCCAGCACTGCAGAAAAATGAAACAGAATGATGGTGTAGGCATGAAAAAGGGAAGTGCAAAGGCACTCCTGGATTTGATCTGCACTGCCAAAAAGGCTGGGGAGTCATTTTCAGGTCAAAATAGAATGTACAACCTAGCTGCTATTAACTCACATTTTTCTGCTGTCTGAAATAATTAGGAAATATTCTGCTGCTTGCTTTTTCAAGATCTTTGTTTATAGAATTCTCATGTATAATATATTGTTTTATTTTAACCTAACAGAATTAAAAGATGTTTCCGAAAGTCAGCTTCTAAAACCACAAACCGAGAATAAAAAACCTGAGAAAAGACCTGGACAGTATGGAAAATTCAGACAAGATAAACACCATGCAACAAAGCCTACAGACAGAGATGGAGCTTGCTACAGTTACTCAACATGTGTTCCAGGTAACATTTGTATAAATCAGGAAAGGAGGGATAAAGACCTTTTTAAAACACCACTGATATGAATACTTACCACGGTTTATGTTAGGCTGTGGTCATAAGCTAATTCAGTACAAGGTCTGAGTCCGTAGCTGAACTGGAGAGCACTTGCCTAGCACTGGTGAAGCCCCGAATTCAGTCCCAGCATTGCAAAAATCATAATTGTCTACTGATATTTGCTGTACTCACATATATAATATTCATGTACAGTCAGCACATTTTTCATCGTGGTTAATCATTAGGATTTAGAACTGGCATGTTTTCTACAGCTCTAGAGGCAGGTTGGAGTACAGCTTTAGCCTCCAAGTTTGAGGGCAGAGTGGACCTGGGTGACAGTGGCAGCTAAGAAGGTGACTGCTACCATTGGGAATTTAGCTCAAGTGGGTGCTCAAGGACATGGGGTTGACCCCAACCCCATCACAAAGAGAGAAATATCAGCATGATGACTGGTCCAAGTAAACTCTAGTAAATGTTGCCATAAGATTTTTCCCCTGAGACATTAATGGAAAGAAAGAAAGAAGAAAGAAAGAAAGAAAGAAAGAAAGAAAGAAAGAAAGAAAGAAAGAAAGAAAGAGAGAGAAGGCTGACTGAGCTGACTATGGAGGCCCATGTTTGTCCACACAAAGGGCTGGGGATGCAGCTCAGTGTGATGGCCATGGGTTCCACCCCTGGGCCTAGGGATGAAAGAAGCAAAAACTGTCTGTGGAAATTGATGAGATATTTGCAAACATCATAAACATACCTTTACCCTGCTGAAGCCTCTTGTAAGTAGAAATGAAGACAAAAGTGTATCACACACTGGGAATACAGGCAAGTGTCACAGCACCTGCCTGGCTAGCATGAGGTCCTGAGTTGAATGCTTGGGACAGAAAAAATAATTGTGTATCACTCTTTTCTGTGAATACAGAGCTACTGTACTTTTCTAGTAAATGTTTAAAACATTAGATAAGGTTAGTGAAGGGATTATTTAACAAAAATCTTGTTAAAATTTTAAAGTTGTTATATTTTGAGTTGTTTTTTGTTTTTACTTTAAACTACAGAACATCATTTTGGGGTGTAAAGTCAACTGGGCAGCAGATCCAGCACTCAGGGAAACTGTTCTGCAGGTGAAAAGGCTCTCACCACAATCTAACAAGAATTCCACTGGGCCAGGTGTTGCCATGTGTGCCTTTGATCTCAGCACTCAGGAGGCTGAAACAAGAGGATTGCCACATGCTGAAGACCAGCAAAGATTTGCACCTTGCAGTTTTTGGATTTTTGTCTCTGATATGTCATTTAAATAGCAAGTTTCAAGTGAAAGGAATTTACCATCTTTGGGGAACTCTCCTAATCTGTAATTGCTTTTTAGCTTCAGTTAACACTCTAACCTAGAATCGGTCATTTTAAATAACACTAAAGTGACTGTGTACTCTTAAAAGGGGAATGTCTTAGTCATGGAAAAGACACCTGGTCTGATATCTGAGGAGCAGGCGCAGTTTTGGACATTCACAAGGTCCCAGCATTTGATTGTAATACTTGTGTGCATTTCTGCATTTGTCAGTCAGGATGCAGAGAGGTCTCCAGAGTGTCAGCAGCTGGTATAATTCGTAGTGGGGTTCTGAGTAACTGTCTTCTGTTCTCTCTGTGTCTGTTTCTCCCCTCACAAATACCTCTGCTCACACACATACAAAAATGCTGGCTACACCCTGGCAATGCTGATGTACAGTGACATCCATGCCCATTTTCAGTTCTGTTTGGACACAAACTCTTGCCAACTTACCAAGGCTGGCTTCAGACTTGGAACCCTCCTGAACAACTGAGATTACAAGCATGTACTGCCATGTCCAGTACAGCTCTTTATTAATTAGAAGCTATTGATCATATTAATGGACAGTGTGAGGTTTTCAGTATTCTTATTGGAATAAAGTGAAACTTGAAAAGATGCACTCATTGGATAATAGCTCATGAAATCTGTTCTTTAGATTAATAACAAAGAGAAATTTCCCTAAGCTCATATAGTAGGTTTTTCTTTGAAATATTTATACCTTGTTTTCTTTGATCAGTCATAATGTATGTATAGATTTATTCTTTTTGTCAGTTATTGTTTTGAGGTAGAGTCTCACTGTGTCCTTCAGGGCATTCTTGAACTCACTAGTAGCCCAGGCTGTCCTAGAACTTCCTGCAGTCCTCCTGCCTCAGCCTCCTGAGTAGTAGGTTACAGGGATGCACCACCACACCTGATCTGTTGTTATCTATATCAATTGTTATAAAGTAATTTCCTTTTGGTGTGCAAATTATTATTTTGGAAAATGCTTTTCCATTCCAGTAATCCACACAGGAACTTTTGTTTGTTGTAGTACTGGGCATTGAACCCAGGGCTATTGTGCTAAGCTCTCTTGAGCCCTATATTTGTTTTTTTAATTTGTTGTTTTGAGATAGGATCTCATCAAGTTGCTGAGTTGCCCAGGCTGGGCTGAAACTTGATCCTCCTGCCTCAGCCCCTAGAAAACTGGCATTCTAGCAGTGCACTACCACAGACACTTGACACTGTATTAGTAAATTTCAACCTGTGGACCACCTGAAAAAGTGTATCTTCATATACTAAAACAGGTATATGTTTATCTGGGACCTTCCTGGTCTTTGACTTACCTGTTACCCAGCTCTGAGAGAGGAAGTGCGTAGGCTTTGCCTGAACTGTTGCTGAATACAGACCTCACAGCTCACTGTTTTATGACGTTTACTTCTGTGTGGGTTTGGGGTTCAGCCGGCCACTCTAGGACTCCACTTGGGGGAGCAGCCACTCAGCAGAAGGCAGGAGCTTATTAGATCAAGTCAAATGCATTCCACAAGCAGAATGTAATCGTCTGCTTGGGAAAGGCAGCCATGGCACCAACCCCACATCACAGAGGCCTTGGGTTTTGTCCCAGCTAACGAATGCTGCATTTCAGAGTCAGGAAAAGGAAATGGGAATTTACTACAAAGGACATGATCTACCTTAGTCAGCTTTGCTCCATGAAATAGACACCCAAGAATAGGGAGGTGCCGGCAGTCCTAGTGACTTGGGAGGCTGGGGCAAAAGTGCTTCAGCTATCAAGATCAAATCCAGCCTGGGATATACTTGAGACCTAATGTCTGGCTTATAACCACATCCACAAAGACACTCTCTCCAGGAAGTAAGCCAACAGCGCAGCCTCTCCTGGTGTTATTTCAAGCTTTAAGAGCTCTCTCTCTCTCTCTCTCCCGCTCTCTCTCTCTCTGTCTCTAGCTCTGCCTCTCGGTCTCTCTCTCTCCCCCTCCCTAATCCTGTTGCAGGGGGTCTCCTCATGTAACTGGCCTAGAACTCACCGGGATCCTCATGCCTCCAACTCCCAAGTGCTGGAGTTACAGGTGTGCTTCACCACACTCAGATCGTCTTGTTCTTCAGTTGTTCTTCTCATCAGTATCAGGGACTGACAACCTGGCTCACAGGCTGTTTTAGTATATGAAGTTTTACCACCACGAGGCCGTGCCACTATGTTCACATGTTAACTGTGCTTGCTTTCTTGCCATGATAAAATAGTGTAATCGAATGAAGTAGCTTAATAGTGACCCTGAGGCGGCTGCACTGCGCTTTTCCATAGGATGAGGTGTTGTGAAAGACAGGTTACCAAGCCCCGTGGGAGCTGGCTTCTGTTTGAGGCATGGCAAAGAAATACCAGCATGGCCCTCTCTCAAGGGCTCAGGGGCTTTGCATGGGATTTGAATAGGGGATTGTCGCTACCTTGAGTCAGGGTGGCTTTGTGAACTGTGACTGTCATGCTGTTGGGCCCACGTGTGTTTATCTGCTCCTCTTACTGTCATAAGGACCCGTGGACCTTGGTGGTACCATGGGGTGGCAGTTCTGCCTCCCTCATTTTTGCCTTGACAAGGGCCCAGGCATCCTGGGGCTGGCCCTAGTAATCCTCAGGTTTTCCCTCACAATGGATTAAAAAATCTAATCATGCTGTAGAATGTTTATTCTGAATTACCCAAATTCTTCTTAATTGTTTATGCGATTCATTTTACTACGGAGTTACTGCACCCTACATGTTAGATCCAAGTATTTTATTAAAATATTTTTTATCAAGAAACCTCAGCCTGGACTAGATACCTCCTGTTCCATCACCCACTGTGCTCTGGCCTGGCTGCCAGCCAGCACTGGGGATGGGGTCACTGGCCAAGCAGAGGAAGGGCGAGGCCAAGGAAGGTCGTGGCACACCGGGCACACAGGCCGAGTGTGGGTGGAGGAATGGAACAGGCGGGTGCGTGCACTAGGGCCTAGTCAGTCCTGGTGTGCACCCTGCCACCCAGGGAGCAGTGGGTACGGATGGCGCATCCCATGCCTTGTAAGCAGACACAGTGAAGATGAGGACGGACAGACTGAGCACTGAGGGTGAATCATTGAGTGACCTGATAGCAGTCTCTGGGCAGACTCTACCTGTGGGAAGTGAAGATAGAATTTCTGCTTTTGCTTCAGAAGCATTTACCATCCTCATCCTGTGGAAAAGTCATCTGCAAGGAGCCTGCATTGGGAATTCCATGAAGCAGAGTCAGTGCCAGCGCTCTCCTGGCAGGATCCCTGAAACGTCCATTCGGATGTGATCGGGAATTTGTTTTGCAATGAACACTTTCTTATGCCTCCTGTGTGACTGCGTTTTGCTCAGTTTTTATTTTTATTGGTATGTGATCACAGTACATAAGATTATATTCATCAGAGATAGTTGGTGGATATGCATGATAGACTTTTCTTCGTTGTGGTAGAAAACCAAGAGTAAAGAAAGCGAAGAACAAAAAGGCCTTTATTGCTGGCATGGGAGGGCTGCAGTGGGGTGCAAGATCCCTTCAGGGCAGACAAAGAAACCTGGAGCTTTTATTCAGTTTGAGAGTGGTGGAGTTCGATGGGGTGGGCAGAGTGACATTTTGACAGTTGTTTGAGGGATTGTTGATGTGTGCACAAGTGGGAAGTTCACTTTTGGGTTTGCAAGAAGAACGTGGAAGTCAGTTTTCAAGTGAGGTACGGGCCAGTGCCATGTTGTGCAGGCACCACGCTGAGCCTGGCACTGCTCCACAGGAGCGGGATCCATTATTCCCATCTTTTGGGTGTTAGAGGCAGCAACTCTTAAACTGCTTCCTGCTGACTGGGGTGACCTGATGGGAATTGAAGCAGTCATTGTGATGACAGGTTGGACCCGAGTAGAATCCGATATGAGGGGTCCCCTCAGGACAAGGAATCACCTTGTTATAAAGGCCCACAACCTGAATTGAAGAAATCTTGAGAAAAGTTTAAACAGACCAAGGAGCTATAATCAAAAAATAACAAGTAATATAAGTGGTCCTTCCAGGGGAAGAAGCTAGGAGGAAAGTGTTCCCTTTTCTATAAGAACAGCAGTCAGACTTTTTTGCAGATATTATCATAATGTATTTTTAGTTGCCCATAACAGTTGTTAATTACTGGAATAGTTGGAAACTAACTGAAGAGGTTAAACTTGGAGCACTTTTTATATTTAACTTATACACATTTTTATATCCTTTGATTATATTTTTTTGCTGGATGTTTAGGACCAAGGTAAATTGAGACCTGTGTTAATTAAAACTAACCTCTTGCTATCTTTCAAGGTCAGGTACGTCTCCTCAGGATTTGTCTTGGAACCATGTGTGGAGCCTCTCAGTTCTTGACAGTGTCAGCCATCTGGATGGTCAAGCAATGAGCCATTGCTTGACCAAGTTGGTTTCTGTGAAAGCTTGGGAGAATTTTCTCCTGGTGACTCTCCTTAGGCACACTATATATTGTGTCACACTGTTTTGTAGTCCCATATTCTTGATCACAAGACCCATGGAGATAAGGAATGTCACTGCAGAGGTTCTCTTATATCCTGGGTCTTCAGTGACCTCAGAGGGCCGCAACCAAAATATTGGTTGTCTCCCAGCCCACTCATCTTTTTAATTTTTGGTCTGCAAATATCTATTGTTGAACATCCAGAAGTAAGGATTGGTAATATTATAGTGTAATAAGGCAGCATGTTTAGCATTATTACCTTACCTGAATATCAAGCAGCTTAGAACATAAAATAGCAACCAATATTTCCATCAATCTTCGATGTCCTAATACTTAAACCCATGGAAAATGTTAACAGTTACATAGTTTTCACAGAAAATTTGAAATAAAACCTATACATAATATATGTCATGCTACAGCATGACAATTATGACACTTTGTGTCAATCTGAATTTGCATTTTGACCTAAGATACCCCTTTTAGTCGATCATCCCTATCTAGCACATAAGCTTTCACCTGACTGGTGTATCTTTAGTAGAATGTGCATGGAGAAAGTTTTTGTTACTGGCAGAGGTCTGAATCTGAAACAATTTTGTTAAACAACCTCTGTTTTACATTTTTGGAAGGAAGACCTGTACAAGTGGAAGCGTGAATACATTAATACACCATAAGGTTAATAACAATCTATCGTTTCATGTGAAACCTTTGTATCAGAGCATATTTAAATCAAAAAAATTATTGTATGAATTCTTTTGACAATGACCGATGTGAACATAATACAATAATGTGTTTTTGAATTTTAGTTGGGATGTCTCCCATAAGCCTATGGAGATCATTGGAGCCTCTGATCAATGGATAAGAACTGGTAAAATGTTACCAAGTAGCCAAGTTCTGAATCATCAACTCCACAGAAGTCCTATCCGATAATGCCCCTCACCCTACAGGATTTTAATTATCTTAATAATTCCTTAGCGACTTATGAAAAAGCCAGACACCACATTTAGCATACTGTTTTTAAACAATGAGACACTGCTGCATCATGAAACATAAATGACAGTATTATCAAATTTACATAACCAATTATAGCATCATTTTGATGACCTGGCAACTCAGGTGGAAGCAGGGTTTTAGACATATAACCCATATTAAATTTTGAACCATTGATC